CCAATTACCGATAAAGACCAAACTTGGCACACTGAGTCTCCATGACGCACTCTACATCCTGGTGCGGTTTGGAGGAGGATGCACCATGGACGATGGGACTTACAATACCTGCACTCCCTTCCTAAGACCATTACAACTGCCCACAATGATAGATCAGGACCACAATTTACACAGAGAGCCCGCATGACCCACTCTACATCCTGGTGCGGTTTGGAAGAATTTGTCAATGGATGATGGGACTTGCAGTACCTTTGCTCAATTCTTGAGACCACTGCAACCCTCATCCAATAACCGATAAAAACCACACTTGGCACACTGAGTTTCCATGACACACTCTACATCCTGGTGCAGTTTGGAGGAGGATGCACCATGGACGATGGGACTTGCAATACGTGCACTCCCTTCCTAAGACCATTACAACTGCCAACAATGATGGATCAGGACCACAATTTACACAGAGAGCCAGCATGACCCACTCTACATCCTGGTGCGGTTGGGAAGAATTTGTCAATGGATGATGGGACTTGCAGTCACTTCACTCACTTCCTGAGACCACTGAGACCCTAGCCAATGACTGATCAAGACCAGACTTGGCACACTTAGTCTCCATGATGCACTCTACAGCCTGGTGCACTTTCGAGGAGGACAGACCATGGATGATGGGACTTCAAGTACCTCCACTCTCTTCCCAAGACTGCTGCAACCCTCATCTAATGTCCGATCAAGACCAAACTTGGCACAGAGAGCCCCCTTGGCCAACTCAACATTATGGTGGGGTTTGGGGGAGAACAGACTATGGAGGATGGGACTTGCAGTACCTAAATTCACTTTCTGAGATCACTGTGACTCTCATCCAATGATTGATCAAGAACAAAACGTGGTGCACAGAGCCCCCACGACCCACTCTCCATTCTGGTGCAGTTTGGAGGAGGATGGACCACAGATTATGGGACTCGCAGTACCTTCACTAACTTCCTGAGACAACTGCGAGCCGTATAAATAACTGATAAAGACCAACCTTGATACACAATTTCTTTCTCAAATAACCCGGGCAGCGCCGGGTCCCCAAGCTAGTGTATATAATAAAAGCCAAAGTTTGTATGCGGCGGACAGATGTGTGGCGGTGTATGTGCCAGCATTCTGATTGGCCAGCCTGAAAGTTCCAAGATTCTGATTGGCTCCCGCTGTGGTGCTATTTGCATATGGTCTCTGATTGGCCAGCTTTACAGGAGCCCCTGGTGGAGAAAAGGGTTCATGACAGAAATGGAGACATGAGAGAAGGAAATTTGCATATAGTCTCTGATTGGCCAGCCTCAATTCCAAGATTCCGAGATGACAAAGAGAGGAAAGGAAAAGGCCAGGGGCTCTGTCATAAAATTACCAATACAGACCAAATTTGGCACACAGAGCCCCCATGACCCACTCGACATCCTACTGCAGTTTGGAGGCGGATGGACCATGGATTATGGGACTTGCAGTACCTTTGCTCAATTCTTGAGACCTCTGCAACCCTCATCCAATTACCGATAAAGACCAAACTTGGCACACTGAGTCTCCATGACACACTCTACATCCTGGTGCAGTTTGGAGGAGGATGCACCATGGACGATAGGACTTGCAATACCTGCACTCCCTTCCTAAGACCATTACAACTGCCAACAATGATGGATCAGGGCCACAATTTACACAGAGAGCCCGCATGACCCACTCTACATCCTGGTGCGGTTTGATAGAATTTGACAATGGATGATGGGACTTGCAGTCACTTCACTCACTTCCGGAGACCACTGAGACCATCGCCAATGACTGATCAAGACCAAACTTGGCACACAGAGTCCCCATGACCCACTCCACATACTGGTGCACTTTCGAGGAGGACAGACCATGGATGATGGAACTTCAAGTACCTCCACTCCCTTCCCAAGACAGCTGCAACCCTCATCTAATGTCCAATCAAGACCAAACATGGCACACAGAGCCCCCATGACCCACTCTACATCCCGATGCTGTTTGGAGGAGGACGAATGATGGATGATGGGACTTCCAGTACCTTCACTCGCTTCCTGAAACCACAGCGACACTTATCCAAATACCAAGAAAGACCAAACTTGGCACAGAGAGCCCCCTTGGCCAACTCAACATTCTGGTGATCTTTGAGGGAGACTATGGATGATGGGACTTGCAGTAACTTAACTCACTTTCTGAGACCACTGTGCCCTCATCCAATGACTGATCAAGACCAAACTTAGCACACAGAACCCCCATGACCCACTCCATCCAGGATGGAGTTTGGAGGAGGATGGACCACAGATGATGGGACTCGCAGTACCTTCACTAACTTCCTGAGACCACTGCGAGCCATATAAATAACTGATAAAGACCAACCTTGATACACAATTCCTTTCTCTAATAACCCGGGCAGCGCCGGGTCCCCAAGCTAGTAATATAATATAATATAATATAATATAATATAATATACTAGTAGCCCTCGGTGGAGCAGTGGTTTAAACCCTTGTGCCGGCAGGACTGAAGAACAAAAGGTCACAGGTTCAAATAGGGGGAGAGCGTGGATGAGCTCCCTCTGTCAGCTCCAGCTCCCCATGCAGGAACATGAGAGAAGCCTCCCACAAGGATGGTAAAACATCAAAACATCCGAGTATTCCCTGGAAATCCGTGCAGACGGCCAGTTCTCTCACACCAGAAGCAGTTTCTCAAGTCGCTTCTGACATGAAAAATAAATAAATAATTATGATATACTTTATTTATACCTTGCTCTATCTCCCCAAGGGGACTCAGAGCTGATTATTTATATCTTGCTCTATCTCCCTAAGGGGACTCAGAGTGGATTACAGAACACATATATGGCAACCATTCAATGCCATTATACAATTAACAAAGACAGACAGGACATAGACAGAGGCAAGACTTTCCTCTTTTTTCACCTCTGGCATCTGGAGGTTGTGCTCGACTTGGCCATGAGGAGGTGCCATTGTTCCATTTTCCATGCCGAGGAGCCTGATGTCCATGGACACCTTCCTGATCCAGCTGCGCCCGTACCTTGGGAAGTCTGACTTGGCCACGGTGGTACACGCTCTGGTCACATCCCAGCTTGACTACTGCAACGCTCTCTACGTGGGGCTGCCCTTGAAGACGGCCCGGAAGCTTCAGCTGGTTCAGCGCGCGGCAGCCATGTTACTAACTGGAGCGGGATACAGGGAGCACACAACGCCCTTGTTGTCCCAGCTCCACTGGCTGCCGATTTGCTACTGGGCCCAATTTAAGTTTTATCGGGTTTGGATCTTTGTTACTGCCATTACTGTTACCCCCTTGCTGTTCCAGCTCCACTGGCTGCCGATTTGCTACCGGGCCCAATTTAAGGTGCTGGTGTTATCCTACAAAGCCCTAAACGGTTCCGGCCCAAAATACCTTTCGGACCGCATCTCGGCCTATGAGCCCACGAGGGCCTTGAGATCGTCTGGGGAGGCCCTTCTCTCGATCCCGCCTGCCTCACAGGCACGTCTGGCGGGGACGAGAGAGAGGGCCTTCTCGGTGGTGGCCCCCCGGCTGTGGAACACTCTCCCTGCTGACATCAGACAGGCGCCCTCCCTTATGTCTTTCCGTAAGAGCTTAAAGACCTGGCTATTCGAGAAGGCATTTAACTGAGTGCTATACTAATTGGTAATGACAACCGGAACGGAATGGATTACGAGACTGGTTACGATTCGATGATGTGACGGAGCGGATTATTTAGTGTAATTTAGATTATTGTGTATTATTGATATGTTGATTTTCTGTTTTTGTTCTATTGTAAATGGTTTTTTTTTATATGTTGTACACCGCCGCGAGTTGCCCTAGGGCTGAGAGCAGCGGTCAACAAATGCACCAAATAAATAAATAAATAAATAAATAAATTGCCCGCATGACTTCTTCAGAATTGAATGGTTCCACAGCAATGAGCCACTGCAGTTAAAGTACGGTCAAACAGCATTCATTCTACCACACGGATGCTCCTTTAGGCAGAAGCAAACTACTACAGTGGAATACAGTTAACACATCCCCTCTAAAAAGCACATCAGGATGGAATTAAACTGGAATTTAGAAATTATTACAAAGGTATTGTGCTTATTTGGCAAGCAACAGGATGAGGTTCTTCTTTCTGAACACTAGGTGGCAGTGCTGCACACAATCTGACCCATTTGACTTTAGTCCCATCCAGGGCCGCACCCTCATTTTGTCCCCTTTCCATCAAGACAGAGCACAAGTGACCAAGGATCATGGGCCAAGCATGTTCAAATGCCCTCTAACATGTAACAGGTGAAAATGAGGACAATAATAGTGTGCTGCCAAGGTGGCAAACGGAAGAGTAGACAACCTACGAAAGTGGCCAACGGTTTGATTTTGCTGGAATTGACTGGGAAGGGCAAGGATCCACCTGCGCCTCTTCATATCTCTGCTATGCACCGAGTACAAAACAAAAACAAAAACAAACAAACCTGTTGCACTTTGAGCTTTGGTTGCAGCAATTGAAGCAAGCTAAGGGCAAAGGGGGGCAAGCCAGAGCAGGAGAGAGAAACCAGGACCTTTTAAAGACAACGGAGAAAGTGGGATGAGAGAGGATGAATGGAGACTGTCCCTGCCAAATCGGGACACGGTGCCATGGTATTACAGGCTTTATTCCCCAGCTAGAGAGGAAAGGAGGAGGGCAAAATGCTTGTATTCAAAAGGTTCCTGAGCAGAAGAAGCTTCCCTGCATCATGCAATTTTTATTGCACCCAATGTGATTTAAAAAACAAAACAAAATGGAGGAAGTGAAGACAGTGTTGCAAATACATCTGCATGCACAAAAAGATGCCTTGAGCCATCCTGGCCGTCCTCTGGGGGGCAGGCCTAGCACAAAGTCCACCTCCCGGCCTGTCCTCTTGCAATGCTTGGTTTGCCTGGGTTGCCATGGCTACTTCTGCCACAGTGCCAGCTTCAGTGTCCAGACTGTGCACAAAGGCCAGTGCTCATTGCTGCCTTTTGTGGCCTTTGGGCAGAGCCTCCCAAAAAGCCCAGCACTCCACCGGCTCCTGTGTCCATTGCTTGATCCAAAGTGCAGGAGAGATCCCACCTAAACATTAGGAAGAACTTCCCAATGGTAAGAGCTGTTCAATGGTGGAATACTTGGCCTCGGAGTCCGGTGGAGTCTCCTTCTCTGGAGGTTTTGAAGCAGAGGCTGGATGGCCATCTGTCAGGAGTGCTTTGATTGTCTCCTTCTGCGTAGCAAAATCAAGTTGGATTGGATGGCCCTGGGGGGTTGCTCCCAAATGTATGATTCTATGAAAACTGTATTCATTTACTAGCTTGGGTAGCTGGCGTTGCCTGGGTTATTAGAAGAAGTAATTTTTTATTTTACAAAATGCATAAGGTTGTGGGTGTACTACAACTCACATCATGGCAGGTGAACCCCCTGAAACTCCATCAATACTTAAAGATTGTCATGTTGGGCAAGTTTGCTCTAGATGCATCATCAGTGGGGTTCAGTGTGCTCTCTGACTGCAGGATGAATTACAACTCTCACCATGGTGGGTCAGTCCCATCAAATCCCTCCAGTGCGTTCAGTTGGTCATGGGGGCTCTGTGTGCCAAGTAAGATCCAGGTCCATCATCAGTGGGGTGCAGAGTGCTCTTTGATTGCAGGAGACCTATAAATCCCAGTACCTCCAAGTAACAAATGTCAAGGCCAGTAACACGCCCCCCCCCCCCCCAATTCAAATTTTGGCATATCGGGTATGTGTGCCAAATTTGATACAGATCCATCATTGTTTACATTCACAGTGCTCTCTGGCTGTAGGTGAACTATAAATCCTATAAATCAAGGTGAATTTTCCCCCAAAGCCCTCCTGTGTTTTTTGTTGGTCATGGGGGTTCTCCATGGTCCAGGGCCATAATTGGTGGGGTCCAGAGTGCTCTTTGATTGCAGGTGAACTATAAATCCCAGTACCTACAATTGCTATAAATCAAGGTGAAGTCCCTCCAAAAATCTCCAGTATTTTTCATTGGTCATGGGGATTCTGTGTGCCAACTGTGGTCCAGGTCCATTGTCGGTGGGGGTCATAGTGCTCTGATGTGATGCAGGGTGAACTACAACTTCCATCATGTGCAGTCAATCCCCCAAACTCCTCCAGTATGTTGAGTTGCTGATTTGTTTTGCTCTGTTTGGTGTGCAGACAAAGTTGAAAAGAGTAGGAAAGGGTTAAGGGAGAGACAGTGGGCGGGATCATGCAAATTCCACACCAATGGAGAGAGTAAGAAACACTGGGATGTCTGTGGTGGAGGAAACACAAAAAATCTAGGATGAAATTGTCCCCAAATGAAAGCATTCCTTGGGTGGGGGACAGTATGGTGTTTGGGGAGGACATTGGCTGGGGTTGGGCAACATGTTCATGGTGCTCGCTATAACCTGAAATGTCATTGGAAGGAGTGCTTTTGGTGGCTCCTCAGCAGTGGGTTAAAGCTGTTTATGGAAGCAGGAGCCTCTCTGTGGAAGTGGGCACTGCAGCCACACACACACATACACATTTTCACTTTTATTATGGATAGAGATTGGAGGGATGTGCAATGGTCAGTTCTGGGCTGGAGCCCCCCGGTGGCACAGTGGGTTAAACCCCTGTGCCGGCAGGATTGAAGACCGACAGGTTGCAGGTTCGAATCTGGGGAGAGACGGATGAGCTCCCTCTATCAGCTCCAGCTCCTCATGCGGGGACATGAGAGAAGCCTCCCACAAGGATGATAAAAACATCAAATCATCCAGGTGTCCCCTGGGCAACGTCCTTGCAGACGGCCAATTCTCTCACACCAGAAGCGACTTCCAGTTTCTCAAGTCGCTCCTGACACGACAAAAAAAAAAGTTCTGGGCTGATTTTGCACCCTTAATTCCTCCAGATTGGTGTATTTCTGTCCCCCCAAAAGAAGTGAACTGATTCTTTTGGTAGGCTCCATTAGCTGCAATTCACTATTTCCATTTTTTGGGGAAAGGGGAACAGTATTTAATATCAAGCATGACTTAAAAAAAAAAACAGTTGCAAATGTCACTGGTTTCCCATGGCAGAAAAACTGTCCCTAAATTGGCTAAACTTGCTCAGCCCTACCTTTCTGAATTGCACATGGGCCATCTAGTCCAACCCGCTGCCATGCAGGAAAAGCACAGTCGGAGTGCCGTCTGTTGGGGATGCTTTGATTGTGCTTTTCCTGCAAGGCAGGGGGTTGGACTAGATGGCTCTTCCAACTTGATGAGTCTATGATTCGATCCTACCTTTTCCCCAAAGCTGAGATGTTATTCACAACAAGAACTACTTGAAAAAGCAAAATAGGAATATTAAAACATTTGAAAAAGGTATTCAAACACACTCAGTTCAAAGCCCCCTGAACGGAAAGGTCTAGGGGTGCATCTAGACCATCGAATTAATGCATGGCTCAGTGCTCTGGAGTCATGGGAGTTCTAGTTGGATGAGGCACCAGCCTTCAGGGGCAGAGGAGGCTCAAGGCCTTGTGAAACTACAACTCCCATGCATTGTAACAATGTAGATGTACCCTTACACTCTCTCCAGGGGAGTTTGGGAGCAGTCACTGAGAAGGTCACCGCAAACTCACCTGAAGATGACAGGTGAGTTCACATCTCATTTACAGTTGGACTGAATTGTATCCTAAGTTTTGAAATGCAAGACAAAGAATTCAAACCACTTTCTGTGCATTTTAATACAATGATACATCCTTATTTGTATAGTGCGTTACCTTAAATCCTGCTGTTCAGTCCCAATCCTAACCAAATGAATGAATAGATGGATTAGAAAATCCTACTAACTCAGTGGATCTCCTGTAGCACTAGTCAGTATTCACAGTTGTTATGTCGACCATGAGCTCTTGTCTTAATTTTATTTTTTATTGATATTTGAAATATTTTTCTAAGGATAACAACAGCAGCAGGCGTGATGATATCTCCATCTTTTACGTAGTCGTGTAAACTGTCCAGATGTGCCATAGGAGAATCCGATTGAGGACCTTTGATGCTGCCTGCATTCCAGCATGGGTGAGTATTGTATTGAGCCAGGGGAAGCAGACAGTATGACGGAAAGCACAGGACGCAGAACAGAGAAGGTGGCCAGAGAACCACAATCCATGCCCGTTTAAGTAAGAGTATTACAATATAGGATAACTGGAGCAAAAATTGTCTGTGCTCAGAGATGGAAGGGACCAGTCATCCCAAATGCAAGAAGATCTGCGAATTATCCAAGATGGACAGACAGACAAAGCTGATCAAGGAGCAAACTGTGTAGGATTGATGAATTAGAAGAGTGTTACCCAAAGTAGAAGTCTGGTTAGATAATATCAAGTAAAGGAGTAAAATACTCTATATAAATAAAAATGTAAATGTTCGTTTGTTCAAAACCTTAAATCTCCCCAAATTCTTCACCGATTGCTTTGAAATTTTGATACAACATAGCATTCGAATAGGTGCATGTTTTTATGTTTTCACAAACCTACTATTATACAGATTTCACACCTGTGATAGGTAATTTTTTTTTCAAAAACAGCACCATCTGCTGAACATCAAAGAAACATGCGCTATACTGCACATTTTACGATACTATTCCAATGTTTCTGAATGCATTACTAAATTGAATTTTCATATACTTCGATTTACATTCATTATGATTTGATTATTTAATGTGACATTGCGTTGGAACTGAGATTTGTTGTTTACCATAGCATTAATTTCGTGAGTATAGTTTATTGTTGTCCTTTCCTTCGGTGCCGCTCACTCTGCCCTGAAGGAGGTGGGATTGCATGGGGGGGGGGGAGGCCTCAGGCCACGCCTTTGCCTTCCCCTTTCTACGCTGCTTCTCTGCCTCAGTCCAAAGTTGCGCCCGAGGGAAAGGGAGCGCACCTTGACCACTCACCCATTCAGCCACACCTCTTTGCTTTGACTGTCCTGATTTAAGAGTTTTAAGCCATAGCAGAACACTTGATGAGCCAACCTGGACACAGCATATTGTTTGAGAATACAGAAATGCTGGACCACTCTTACAACCACCATGTCAGACTACACAGAGAAACCATTGAAATCCACAAGCATGTAGACAATTTCAACAAAAGGAGGAAACCATCAACATGAACAAAATCTGGCTACCAGTATTTTTAAAAAACCTCTAGAATCAGGACAGTAAATAAAAAAACCCCCAAAAACCAGGAAATTCCAGACAAGAAACAATCATGACCAGCTAACACCTCCCAACAAAGGATTCCCTAGACAGGAAGCAGCCAGGCTTTTAAGCTGCAGGGTCATTTGATGCTAATCAAACTGGCCAGTGGCAACATTCAACCTGCCTCCAACAGACAGGAGTTCTTTTTCCCACCCTGGACATTATTCCATAGATATATAAACCCCACTTGCCCAGTTACCAACAGACCTCACAACCTCTGAGGATGCCTGCCATAGATGTGGGTGAAACGTCATGGCCAGACAGCCCGGAAAACTCACAGTAACCCAGTGATTCCAGCCATGAAAACCTTCAACAACACATCAGATAGTGAGTTTGGGATCTATCAAATTGCTTACTTGTTTGTTTGTCCTCTGGTGTCGTTTTGTCGTTTGTTGCACTAGCTAGAAGGCAAGCTGTGTAGTTTAGCATTCCGTATTACAAAATCTTCCTTCTTTGTGTGATTGCTGCTTTTCTATTCTGTTCTTTTTTTCCTTTATGATTAAAAAAAATGACTGATTTCCAGAAATCTCAGCATCAAGCATTATCTAAGGGGATGTTGACTGTTATTTCCAAACAGACACCTGAAAAAGACCCTTGAGAAGGCAGAGGGCAGGGGACTGACTTGTGACACTACAGAGAGGATGGTGGGAGTTGTAATCCCCAACCCTGATTATCCAGAGCTTCAAAATGCCCTCTCCAAAAACGATAACATACAATGCTATGCACTAAACTGGGAGCACTGGGAAAGGGCTACAGGGCTACCAGTCATCTCCTGGGTGACTGGTGCCTCACAATTAACCCACCCCTGAGGTTTTCCCATGATGTCACGACCTCAAGGGACCTGGGCAAACCAGCCCAGAAATTGCTCACTTGAAGATCCTTTAAAGAACCCGCTGGAAACATACTGACTGCTTTCCTACCAAGTGGATCAGGGCTGTAAGCTTGCCTTTAGAAATAAGGGATCCTCGGCCATTTTTGACCTTCCCACATTTTGCCTCTTTCCCAGGGCCTTTCTTTCCGCACTACACAGTTCTAAATTATTTATTTATTTATTTCGGGTACTTATACCCCGCCCTTCTCTACTCCCGAAGGAGGACTCAGGGCGGCTTACAGAAAAGGCACAATTCGATGCCTACACACGTTACACATAATATACAAAACCATAGTTAAAAACAGTTATCACAGTTAACATAATCAACAACCAATACATAACACATCATATAAAAACTATTCTCGTGATCAGCGTTTCATCTTCAGAGTTCCATAGATCTAATCCATTAATCATTTACTAATCATCATCAAAGTTCTTTCTTTATCTGCCTGCTTGTCCGAATGCCTGGTCCCAGATCCATGTCTTTAGTTTTTTCCTAAAGGAAAGGAGCGATGTTGCAGATCTAATTTCCCCGGGGAGTGAATTCCACAGGTGGGGGGCCACCACCGAGAAGGCCCTGCTCCTCGTCTCCGCCAATCTCACTTGTGATAGAGGCGGGGTCGAGAGCAGAGCCTCCCCAGAAGATCTTAGATTCCGGGGTGGGACGTAGAGGGAGATCCATTCGAACAGATACACTGGGCCGGAACCGTATAGGGTTTTGTAGGTCAAAACCAGCACTTTGAATTGCGCTCGGAACTGGATCGGCAGCCAGTGGAGCTGACATAACAGGGGGGTGGTATGCTCCCTGTATGACGCCCCAGTGAGCAGTCTGGCTGCCTCCCGCTGGACTAGTTGGAGTTTCCGAGCAGTCTTCAAAGGCAACCTCACGTAGAGTGTGTTGCAGTAGTCTAATCGGGATGTAAAAAGAGCGTGGACCACCGTGGCCAGATCTGACTTCCCAAGGTACGGGCGCAGCTGGCGCACAAGTTTTAATTGTGCAAAAGCTCTCCCGGCCACCGCCGAGACCTGGGTTCCAGGCTCAGCGATGAGTCCAGGATCACTCCCAAGCTGCGAACCTGCGTCTTCAGGGGGAGTGTAACCCCATCTAACACAGGCTGTAACCCTATGCCCTGTTCGGCCTTACGACTGACCAGTAGGACCTCTGTCTTGTCTGGATTCAATTTCAATTTGTTAGCTCTCATCCAGTCCGACACAGCAGCCAAGCACCGATTCAAGGTCTGGACAGCCTCCTTGGTGACAGGTGAGAAGGAGTGACAGATTTGGACATCATCTGCATAGAGATAACACCTCAGTCCGAAACTCCGGATGATCTCTCCCAGCGGTTTCATGTAGATGTTAAACATCGGGGACAGAATTGATCCCTGTGGGACTCCACACAACAACGGTTGTGGGGCCGAACAGGTGTCACCCAGTAACACCTTCTGGGTCCGTCCCTCAAGGAAGGATCGGAGCCACTGCAAAGCAGTGCCCCCGAGCCCCATCTATGAGGCGCCCCAGAAGGATACCGTGATCGACGGTATCGAAGGCCGCTGAGAGGTCCAGCAGAACTAACAGGGACACACTCCCCCTGTCCTTCCCTGCGAAGATCATCTACCAAGGCGACCAAGGCTGTCTCAGTACCATGTCCCGGCCTAAAGCCAGACTGTGCCGGATCTAGATAATCAGTGTCTACCAGAAACCCCTGGAGTTGTGTTGCCACCACACGTTCCATGACTTTGCCCAAATAGGGGAGATTGGAAACTGGCCGATAGTTGTCAAATTGAGTGGGATCCAGTGATGGTTTCTTCAACAGCGGTTTTATAACAGCTTGTTTTAAGCTCGCTGGAAACTTTCCTTCCTGTAAGGAGGCATTAACCATCACCTTCACCCACTCTGCCAAACCCCCTCTGGCTTCTTTTATCAGCCAGGATGGGCAGGGGTCTAGGATGCATGTGGTAGGTCGCACCTCTCCAAGGATCCTGTCCACATCCTCAAGCTGAACCAATTGAAATGAATCCAACAAAACTGGACAAGCAGATGCAGTGAATCCACTTTAACTGCCCTGGCTTAATACTATGGAATCCTAGGATTTGTAGTTTGGCAATTCCCTTTTTCTTTACAGGTTGAAAGTCCATTTTTCAAGGCTCCACTGAGATTTTAAATCAGTGCAATGCTAGACATTTGGGGACAGAAAGAAAAATGCATTTAGCAGAATTCTATTATTGTTGTTGTTGTTTTTATTTGAAACACAAGATTAGTACACAGTGAACAAGGTCACTATGCTGGCTGTTGTATTGGATCACACATTGGACACTTCCCAAGTGTCTAGGACTGATTGTTATATTATTATTATTATTATTATTATTATTATTATTATTATTATTATTATTATTATTCCCCAGATTCTCTCCCCAAAGGGGACTCAAAGAGGCTTGACATAAAGGCATTAGTATACAATTTAAAATATACAAATATGCAACCATTAAAAGAGAATTAAACTGTTTACATAGGTGGTTGTGGACAAGATCAGGATCTACACATTTCAAAATGTTATATAAGCCATAAAGGAAGATGTGTGCTAAGTGGCTGGTTCATGGAAATCTTGGGGTTTCCTTTTTCCTATCACCATCACCACCACCATCATCATCATCATCCTGCCTTTTTTCTCTAAAGAAAAGACTCAAAGCAGCTTACAGAAAACCAATACAATGGCAGATCCCAGGATTCTTTAAGAGATAGCCATGGAATCGCAGTCCTATAGCAACTTGTTTCCCCTCTGTCACGTTCTTTATCACTCTTCTGACGCAAAATGTTCACTCTCTAATCTTACCAAAACCTTGATAGCAACAAGGGGAACATAGGAAGTCACAGCCCTTAATCATCTTTGCACAATATGGTTGGTTTATGTGTCTCTTTTCCAAACTGTCCCCTTCCAGGCCAAACCAGCATGCCTACCCTGAAATTCCCCAAGACCACCGAACCTCTGTGGCATAAATGGGACAGGAAGGCTCAGAAATGCGGCTTGCTGAGCACGGTTCACGCCGTCAACGGGGATCAATACACTGGAGAATGGTGGGACAATATGAAACATGGTAAGAATAATCCGGAGCAAGCGATGAGAGAGGGAGGCATTTGGTGAATTGGGGATGGAGCCACATTGTGGTTATACCGCTTCGATCCCACTTTAAGTCTCATGGTTCCACTGTATGGAAACCTGGGATTTGTAGTTTGGTGCGGGAATTCACACTAGAGAGTTCTAATGCTTATTTATTTGTTGTGTCAAAAGCGAATTGAGAATACGGTTATAATGCATTTTAAAAAACCCACAAACAAAGTTAAGAACCTGGCATTATGCTAGATTTCCTTTGACAGAAGCTGGCCACTTGGAGCGCCTCTGGAGTCGCTGTAAGAAGGTCCTCCGTTGTGCATGTGGTAGCATTGCAGTCAGTGGTTTGTGGTTTGCTCTTCTCCACACTCGCTTGTCGTGGACTCCACTTTGTAGCCTCGTTTCTTAAGACTGGCTCTGCATCTCAGGGTCCCAGAGCGCAGTCTGCTCAGTGCCTTCCAGGATACCCAGTCTTCTGTGTGCCAAGGAGGGAGTTTCTCCTCTGGTATCAGCCACCGATTGAGGTTCCAGATTTTCACCTGCCACTTTTGGACTCTTGCTTGCTAAGGTGTTTCTGCAAGTATCTCTGTAGATCTTAGGAAGCTGCTTCTTGAGTTAAGGCATTGGCTTGCTAGCTGATATCCGAACAGAGGATGGGCCGGAGATGTCCATGTCTTGGTCCTTTCATTGCTGGCTGCTACTTCCCGACAGATGTCAGGTGGTGCAATATCGGCTAAAGAGTATAATTTCTCCAGTGGTGTAGAGTATAGACATCCTGTGATAATGCAGTATGTCTCATTAAGAGCCACATTCACTGTTTTAACATGGCGAGATGTATTCCACACTGGGAATGCGTATTCAGCAGCAGAGTGGCAAAGCGCAAGGGCAGATGTCTTCACTGTGTCTGGTTGTGATTGCCAGGTTGTGCCAGTCACCTTTCGTATGATATTATTTCTAGCACCCACTTTTTGCTTGATATTCAAGCAGTGCTTCTTATAAGTCAGAGCACGGTCCAGAGTGACTCCCGGGTATTTTGGTGTGTTGCAATGCTCCAGTGGGATTCCTTCCCAGGCAATTCCCAGATCTCGAGATGCATGTCTGTTCTTAAGGTGAAAAGAACACGTCTGCATTTTAGATGGATTAGGAATCAGTTGGTTTTCCCTGTAATAGGCAGTAAGAGCACCTAAAGCTTTGGAGAGTTTCTGTTCAACCTTCTCAAAGCTCCCTGCTTGAGCAGTAACGGCATGATCATCAGCACAGATGAAACTCTCTGTCTCTTCTAGCAGTGGCTGGTCATTGGTGTAGATGTTAAACACTGATGGAGCAAGCATGCTCCTCTGAGTCAGGCCATTCTTCTTTTTCGCCATCTGCTTCTCTGACCCTGGAACTCAACAAAAAAGCTCTAACACTGAAGTTCAAGGATTGACTCAGAGCTCTCTAGGAGACAATTCTATGAGCCTCATATAACTTCAAAACCCAGCATTCCATAAGATGGAACCATAGAAATTAAACAGATAGAAACGTGTAGTACAGGTACAGTGTTCCCTCACTTTTCACAGGTGTTACATTCCAGGACCACCCGCGAAAAGTGAAAATCCGCAAAGTAGGGACGCTATATATGCATATCGAGTTTCGAGGGTGAGGCAGAAGAGAGGAGAGATTTAAAGGCATTGCACACCTTTTATTTTGCTAGCTATCTCTGCTTTGCTTTGCAATCTCTCTTAATTGGTTGCCTCTCACCCGAGAGGGAGGATGAAACCCCTTCCACACACCATCGTTGCCAGGAGGTGGGATTAGAATGCTGCTCTGGCAATGGCAACTATTCATAAACTGAGAGGCAAAAACTCGCAAAACAGTGAGTCCGCGGAAAATGAACCCTGAAGTAGCGAGGGAACACTGTATACCCAGCTGATGCTCAAAATATGGGAATTGGACTGCTGGCTTGCAGAGGACTCTCCTTTCAGGTGGAGGTGTTCTACCCCAAACCCAAGAAGGTCTGAAAACCAAGTTACAAACATCTGACTTACAAATGATCCATAGTTAAATAACAGGCGTGAGACAACACCAGAGAGAAAAATCTACCCCTTGGAAGGAAGAGAAATTCACCCCTGAAAGAGTTATTATCATTTATTTGTTTGTTTGTTTGTTTGTTTGTTTATGATACTTTTATCCTGTCTTTCTCAGCCCAAAGGCAACTCAAGGCAGCTTACAATTTGACAGCAATTCGATGCCATAACATTTCATAGTATACAGTTAAAAACATTAAAACAACATTATAAAACCCATACAAAACCATTAAAATATATAAAAGCCAATGTCTTCCTATTAATCTAATTTTCCAGTAGCATTGTCTAGGCCGTTCCATGTTTTGTTCTTTCATAATTCCATGTTTATCCAGTTACACTGCATTTCCAAAAGCTTGTCCAAAGAGCCAGGTTTTTACTTTTTTCTGGAAGGTCAGGATGGAGGGGGTCGATCTAATATCCCTAGGGAGGGAGTTTCACAGCTGAAGGGCCACCACTGAGAAGGCCCTGTCTCTTGTCCCTGCCAAGCGCACCTGTGAAGAAGGCAGGATCGAGAGCAGGGCCTCCCCAGATGATCTTAAATTCCTAGATGGTTCATAAGGAGAGATAAGTTTGGACAGGTAAGCTGGGTCGGAACCGTTATTATCATGAGGAAAAGGTGTCTCAGCTGAAGCTTTATCACCAATCCTTGTTTCTACAACAAGACAAAATTTTCAAAATCCAATTTTGATATCACAGGGGCAGAACGTGAGATTCAACCCTCTGAACAGGGGCACATACAGCAAAACAAACATCACAGGGGTCTTAACTCTTCCCTCTTATGCCATCCAGAACACACACACACACACACACACACGGATGAAGTTATAGTTTAAAAATGTACCTGTTCCAACTTACATACAAATTCAGCTTAAAAACAAACCTAAAAAACCTATCTTGTTTGTAAGTTGGGGACTGTTTGTAGTTCTGTGTTTAGCTTTTCCATGCACCTGGGAATGCCACAGGACCTCCAAAAACATTTCAAATGGCTTTGTTGCCTTATTTCTTTCTCTGTAAGACACCACCAATTGTAAAACGCACCCTAATTTCAGTTGCACTGCCACCAACCAAAATACAGAAGATACACCTGCGATTCTAAGGCACACCCTATTTTTAGAAATGCTTATATATAGAGGGAAAAGTGCATCTTTGCACTGAAGAAATACAGCATTTTGGTGCCTTTTTGCACCACTGAGAGCAATTAAATACAACCGAATTCTAGAAGAGAATAATCAGGTATGAAAAAGGGATTTGTACTTACTTACTTACTTACTTAGGTGATCCCTCATTGTCAGAGTAAGATTGTCCCCCAAGATCGGCGTACTGGTGGTGGGTATGTAGGTGACTGTGGAGCCCTATTCTTGACTTGCATGTTCTCCAGCAGTGAGAGCATCGGTTTCCAGGCGGAAGGCGGTCCCGGTCGGGATAGCGGAGGACCATCACGTCATTGCTGGTGGTCTTTGCTTCTTCCAGCATGCTGAAATTTGTCCACCTCTCTTCTCAAGAGATTTGCAGGATTTTTCGGAGGCAACACTGATGGAATCATTCCAGGAGTTGCATGTGATGTCTGCTCACGTTTCACAGGCATATAGCAGGGTTGGGAGGACAATAGCTTTATAAACAAACACCTTGGTATCCCTACGGATGTCCGGTTCTCAAACACTCAGTGCTTCATTCGGAAAAATGCTGCACTTGCAGAGCTCAGGCAGAGTTGTATTTCAGTGTCAATGTAGACTTTTGTGGAGAGGTGGCTGTCAAGGTCGCGGAAATGGTCAACATTTTCTAATGTTACACCATTAAGCTGTATTTCTGGCAGTGGAGAGGGATTGGCTGGTGACTGCTGGAAGAGCACTTTGGTTTTCTCGATGTTCAATGACAGGCCGAGCTTCTGATATGCTTCTGCGAAGATGTTTAGAGTGGCTTTTAGGTAGGATTTGTTCATAGGTGCTACCATGAAACCCTGGGCAACCTCAGGGTTTTCTTTGAAGCTCACAGGAGCTTTTTGCTATTTCATATGTGTATTCCTCAGAACCCCCTTTAGCACTCTCTAATGCCCTTCACAGTTTGAGAACACCAGCCTCAACAGAAAGTAACAGGCATCTCCTCTTACCATTTTTTTCCCTCTGCCAGGCAAAGGCATACAAAAATGGCAGAAGACTGGCGCGATCTACAGCGGAGACTGGCAATTCGGGAAACGCGAGGGCTATGGGATCTACGGCATTCCTAACCCATCCGGGGTGGGTTATCGGAAAGTGTATTCGGGTTGGTGGAAGAACGACAAAATGCATGTAAGTCCTGCTTTTTCTCAGGTCCACAGCTTGGACAAACACCTAAGTTACATCCCAGCTTGATTGCTGCAACTCACTTTATGTAGGGCTGCCTTTGGAAACTGTTTGGAAACTTCAGCTACAATGCTGTGACCCAAATACCGACTGGGGTTGGTTACAGGGATCATAAAACTCCCTCGTTGTAATGGCATCTGGCATGTTTTGTTCTTGCCCCGAGCAGAGAGATTGGGAAGCCCAACGTTACCATTATGAACACAGAACGTTGTGTCAAACCAAGCGCCACATAAAAGCTTGGATAAGTTGCTTCACCCACCAAATTGCCCACTTTTAACCCCTCCAGAGTTGGGAAATAACTAGTTACATGTATATAGTTACCTGCAATCATTACCTTTTGCTAATAATGAAGACATAATGAAGAACCCATCTACACTGCGAAGTCACAGTAGTAATAAAAACAACACTTTATTTGTATTCCGCCCTGTTTCCCTGAGGGGATTCAGGGCAGATTTCAGCATATACAGAAAAAATCAGACACAAAGCAAACATTCAATGCCTCGAAAAATGAAACACAAATACACAGATAAAGGTAAAGGCTTCCCCTTCATCTCCGGCTCTGGAGGTGGTGCTCATCTCCAAGAGCCTGCATTGTCCGTAGACACTTCCTAGGTCATGTGGTTGGCATGATTGCATAGAGTGCTGTTTACTTTCCCACCTATTGATCTACTCATATTTGCATGTTTTCGAACTGCTAGGTTGGCAGAAGCTGGGGCTAACAGCGAGAGCTTACCCTGTCCCATGGATTTGAACCGTCGACCTTCCGGTCAGCAAGTTCAGCAGCTCAACGGTTTAGCCTGCTGCACCACTGCGGCCCCACTAGTGTGATTTATTGTGTGTGTTAGGAGCGACTTGAGAAACTACAAGTCACTTCTGGTGTGAGAGAATTGGCTGTCTGCAAGGACTTTGCCCAGGGATGCCCGGTTTTTGATGTTTTTCCATCCTTGTGGGAGGCTTCTCTCATGTGCCTGCATGGGGAGCTGGAGCTGACACAGGGAGCTCATCCGCACCCTCCCTGGATTTTAACCTCTGACCTGTCGGTCTTCAGTCCTGCTGGCACAAGGGTTTAACCCATTGCGCCACCAGGGTGATATCACTTTCTAATGGCATGGTTCCATGCAATGGAATCCTGGCAATTGTAGTTCCACTAGGGATATCTTACAAACTGCAAATCCCAGGATTCTACAAGAAAGAGCTGTCGCCAAATAAAATAGGATCGAATTGCTATAGCGGTCTCAGTATTTGAGACTCAACAAGAGACAAATCCTATCTGTGTGGTGTTATGTCACTTCCCCTTTTCTCCTGGACAGGGGCCGCCTTCCATGCTGGAAAGGGAAGCTGCCGGAGGTCAAGAGCTGCCTCCCGCTGCCCTTTCCCGGCCTCTTGTGGGTATTGAGGGGATCACAAGGGACCCACAAAGACAGGGTGGCTGTGTGCCACAGACCAGTGACCTGCAGGGATTCAGTTTTTTAAAAAAACAAACATCAAAGGAAATGGCTCAGTGCCTTTTGGGGAAAAATGCAGAAGCAAAAGTGTTCTTGTTTCATTGCCAAGTCTCTAATAATGTCCTGCATTTCACTGGGTGAATCGTTCTGCAGGCTGCTGCCCACTTCATCAGGTGTGAGGAAACCTGTTTTATCCTTAAGCGGTGGCAAGACTCCTTTATTGCTTTTTCTGCATAATGTGAAAGAAAATGAGAGTGCACCCACACAGCATAATTGTATCCCTTTGGTTCCTGAACGCAGCAGACTGCTTTCACTCATATAAAATCCTGGATTGTGTACTTTGGTGAGGGACTTAGAACTGGATGCACTGCCATGAATGACAATACTCTAGCACAGTGTTTCTCAACCTGGGGGGTCAGGACCCCTGAGGGGGTCGTGAGGGCATGTCAGAGGGGTCACCAAAGACCATCAGAAACACATAGTATTTTCTGTTGGTCATGGTGGTCCTGTGTGGGAAGTTTGGCCCAATTCTATCGTTGGTGGGGTTCAGAATGCTCTTTGATTGTAGGTGAACTATAATTCCCAACAACTACAACTCTCAAATGTCAAGGTCTATTTTCCCCCAAACTCCACACTTGGACATTTTGAGTTTACGTGCCAAGTTTGGTCCAGATCCATCATTGTTTGAGTCCACAGTGCTCCCTGGATGCAGGTGAACTACAACTCCAAAACTCAAGGTGAATGCCCACCAAACTCTTCCAGTATTTTCTATTGATAATGGGAGTCCTGTGTGCCATATTTCGTTCAATCCCATCATTGGTGGAGTTCAGAGTGCTCTTTGATAGTAGGTGAACTATAAATCCCAGCAACTACAATTCTCAAATGTCAAAATCAAACTCCCCTCTAACCCCACCAGTATTCAAATTTGGGCATATCGAGTATTTGTGCCAAATTTGGTCTGGTGAATGAAAATACATCCTGTATATCAGATATTTACATTATGATTCATAACAGTAGCAAAATAATTTTATGGTTGGGGGTCACCACAACATGAGGAACTGCATTAAGGGGTTGGGCATTAGGAAGATTGAGAATCACTGCTCTAGCAGAAGAGTCTAAGTACTGCACAAAACTACAAATCCCAGGATGTCCAAAGATGGCACAATGCCAGTTAAACTGGCATCAAAATGCTGTAACTATGTAGTGTGGGTGCACCCTATATCTCAAGGTATATCTCTCAAGTCAGTCTGACTTTCAGTGCAGATTTACTGGGTGTTTCTACTTCTTTCTGCTTCAGTTTTCCTGTAACATACCCACCTCCCTGGAAATCTGTTGAAAAACTACTATCATCAGCTATGTAAAGCCTTGGGAAAGCAAAGGTTATAGGTTAGCTCCAGACTGTCTTCAAGTCAGTATCTCTGTGGATTTCTGGGGTTTGTAGTTTGGTGAGACCCAAGAGCTCTCTGCTCCGTACTGTAAAATCCTGGGTTCTATACGATGTTGGCATAGAAGTTAAGGGGAATAAAAGTGGAGTGCAGTAGGGCCCTACAAAGAAGCCCTCTTTAAGGTTAAGACTCAAGGCATCTACCAAGGTTATCCGGAAAGTAAGGTTACAAGATTTTTTTAAAAAATACAAAGAATTAATATATGTTAATAAAACTTACATGGATTGTAGTATAGGTATTACATAATTTTTTCCACATAATCACCATTCAGTTCAATACATTTGTTATCCGTGGGACGGGTTTTTGATGCCACCTTTTTCAGCCAGTTCATCACTTCAATTTTCACCTCCTCGTCATCGGAAAAGTGTTTTCCACTCAGGTGTTCCTTCAATTTAGTGAACAGATGAAAGCCACTGGATGGGAGATCAGGACTGTGAGAGGGGTGGCTTAAAATATCCCAACCATGAGCAGTGTGTGGACACGCATTATTATGGAGACAGACTCCCATCATCAGCATCCCATGACGTTTGTTTTGGATGGCTCGGTGAAGTTTCTTCACAGTGCCACAATATATTGCATAACCATTTTGTCACATGCTGTCTTGTCATTACGTCCTCTCCATAAACTGAAATGAATACATGATCAATCGCAGCAGCGTTCATGCCCTTAGCATTAAGGTAGCGTATTCCAGCGCGAACTTCGCACTTGGAGGGAAACAGAATGAGGACGCTCATTTCTAACCTTCACCACAATGCCAGTCGATGAGCTACTGATGACTGGCACTGCTCGTTCACTTCCACTGGCTTCCTGCTACACAGCAGTGCTACCAACTTCCCCCACAAAAGTTCCCCACGGGAGCTACGTGCCTTGTAACCTTACTTTCTTGATAACCCTCGTATGAGCTATAACTATCCCTTCTAGTTTCACTGATCAGATCAATGACATCATTCATTATTTTTATTTTACTTCTAAGCCACCTTTCTCCTGAAGTGGGACCTGACATGATTGTGTGGCACTGTTTTGGCTCTCTCTAAGCATCAGTGGAAGGAGGCAAAATGTTCTGCTGTTAATCCACTTCTTCATCCTTTCGTAACTTTAGGGTTTTGGAGTTAAGTTTTTCTCGGAGACAGAGTATTACGAAGGGGACTGGTATGCCGGGAGGAGACAAGGCTGGGGACGGATGTACTACAAGGACGGCTCCATTTATGAAGGCCAGTGGTTCGAGGATGCGCCAAATGGGACAGGAATGCTACGCCATAGTAAGTATGGGCTGTTGACCATGACAATGTTGTTGTTGTTGTTGTTGTTGTTGTTGTTGTTGTTGTTGTGTGTTTTCAAGTTGTCTCTGACTTATGGGAACCCTAGGTTTTGTGGGGATGAGCATTAATGACTCATTTAAGGTCACTCAGTGGGTTTCCATGGGTGAGCATTGAACACCACTCTCCAGTGCTATAGTCTAATGATTGAGTACTGACTACTCTTGCACTTTGTACTCATTTTGCAGCAGTTGAAGTAAGCTGTGAAAAAATGTGATATTTCATAAACAGCTGAAAAGGGGGGACCACAGAGGATTAATTGGGAACTGCCCTTGCCAAATCAGGACTTTTTTGGGGGTATGAAACCCTATGAAATCCACAGGTTTCCCATTAGTCAACAGTGGCACTACCAATCGGAGGATTACATAAATTAGAACCATGGCAACTAACATGGAATCATAGGGCAATCTTTGTGTAGTGGGAAAAGGCCCTTTTGTTTATGCCGAGGGGTTGTGCAGTGCGAAACGGCCCCTTTGTTTATTCCAAAGGGGTTTTATCCTGCCCTGCAGCAATTCTCCTCTAAAAAACAAGATTAAAAAAAAAACCCAAACGAATAAAGAACGTGTTAAAATAGCAGTGCTGGAGGTGGGGAAGTATTGGCACAGAAAGTATAACAACACAGGGATTCTGTGAACTGGACACCACAACTGGGAATGGCCTGCCACTGCATAGAAACGGGAATGCCTGGCCTTGGCTGGGCTGTGTGTCCCCTTTCAGCGCCTGGGTTTTTTCTTTCCTTCATTTTTCCGTGAGTAAGATATCGAGAGCCAACCACCCGGCATGAATGCCAGGTTTCGGTTACTCATTCTGGGCCCCTGGCCAGCGTGGATGATTTGATCTTGGGACAGTAGTTTGCAGTGACCCTAATAAAAAAAGCACTTGTCCCTCACCCGGCCTTGTAAACTCAGTCGTGTGGGGCCTGCGGAGCTGCCAATGCGAAACTTGCCGGTGTGGAGAAATCCTCCTGAAGCCCTTGGCACATAGAAGACAAAGGGAAATCCTAGCCAATTTATGACCAGTTTGGGAACAAGACCATTTCTTCAGCCTGGAGGCAAGGGTCAGCTTAAAATCTTATGTTCTCAAATCTGGAAATAATCTTTCTTTCTTTTTGAGTACCACATCTCATTCTAGAAGAGGGGAAACAACAGCAACAGCATCTTGGAGCAAGAGAAAGTCCAGCTTTGTTTCCATGCCTGTGCCTTTCTCCTCCTCTTTTGTCCTCAGCTTACTTACGCTGCTGCAAACTGAGTTCAAAGTCCAAAAGTTGTTTGCATTCAGTTAGCTGGAAGATTGTTCACTCTGTTAACCCAACGGGAGGAGAGGGAAGTTGCTGAAGAATGCTGCACAACTGAATGAAAACACAAGCCAGTACTTTTGCCCATTGAGATAGCAAAAACAAGCCAGCCCCCTCCAACAAGGGGCTGGGCTTTAGCACAGCAGGTTAATCACCAAGCTGCAATAAATTTTGCCAACTGGAAATTTGACAGTTAGAAGCCCAGGTCAGGGTGAGCGCCTGACCTTTAGCCCAGCTTCTGCCTACCTAGCAGTTTGAAACAAATGTGAGTAGATAAATAGGAACTGCATTAAAGCGAGGAGGTATTTAGGCAGGCGTTTTGATCAGAAAAAGGAGGAAGTTTACAAACAAAGAAAGCTCTTCGGCAAGGAGATGGCGCGACAGCACCCCCCCTGTGGCTGGAACTGAGCATAGCCTCCAAAGATGCTGAAAGATGGGAAAGCCTCTATCTGTTATCTGTCTTGTCATTGCATAATCTGCATGGAATGTTTGCTGTATATTTGTTCTGTGATCTGCCCTGAGTCCCCTTTGGGGTGAGAAGGGCGAAATATAAATACTGTAAATAAATAAATAAATAAATAAGCTCTGTGTCAATTGCAGAAAATGAAAATCGATATGAAGGCAGCTGGAAAAACGGCAAGAAACACGGCCCGGGGAAGTTCATCTACTTGGAGACAGGGCAGCTTTATGAAGGTTTCTGGGTGGCCGGTGCTGCAAAGTGTGGAACCATGATTGATTTTGGCCGGGAAGAAGCTCCCTTGCCAACTCGCTATCCAATCCCAAAGGTAATGTGTAGCTTGTTGTCGATCTTTGCAACCCGAAAGACAGTTGCATCTGTCAAGTAGGAAAATTAGGTACCACCTATGTGTGGAGAGGCTAATTTAACTAATTTATGAGGCCATAAAAAAGACTCCAGCAAAAAGCACTCCAGCAAAGCATGCGGGGAATGCAGAAGTACTTCATCAGTGTCGCAGATGGGCGATGAAAGCGACAGCTCCCCTGGCGGCCAGAAAAAGTTAAATAGCGTCTGTGTATGTCTATATACGTTGTATGTCTAATTGGCATTGAATGTTTGCCATATATGTGTACATTGTAGTCCGCCCTGAGTCCCCTGTGGGGTGAGAAGGGCAGAATATAAATGCTGTAAATAAATAAATAAATAAATAATGTAGGGGTCATTCTGAGTGGTTTGGTCTCTGCCCTGCTATTTGATACCTGAGTCCACCCTGTTGCCTTTTCCCCCTGGATTCTTTTCCAGATGGGCATTTTCCAGGAACGTTGTGTTTTCCTGCATGGTGGCCCCTGCAGTCCCTTCCTATGGTTCTAAAAGATTCTTCTTTTTTGCCAGTGAAGGCCATATGCAAGGAAAGAGTTCTCCATGGGCCACATTCCCTTCAGACCTGAGCCGGTCTCCAGCTTTATAAGTTGCTGACACCTCTCCTTTTGTATTTTTTATTCCAGGTCGAACTGGCAGACACCGAAGGTGTGTTAGATGAAGCAGTGCATAAGTTAAAGATGACTGAAGAATACATTTCTCACTCTCAGAAAAAATGATGGCAGTTTGTGACCAATGAGAAGCCATAGCCAACAGAGAGGCCTCCTTGAACTACTTCACTCCCAAATATATACTTGGTACTGCTGAGTTTTTGGCCTATCTTTCATTCTCTCCTTCTGATAGTTCAAGGTCCTTTTGGTTTCATTTAGCAACTGAAGCCAAGATAGAGAAAGGAGTGAGGACACAGCCGGTTTTCCCCAATGTTAGAAGTGGAAGACGTTTCACAATTCTTTGGTGGTTACTTACTTCAGATCATTGTTCCTAGAAGCAGCACCTGGATTCTCAAGGAGAAGCATTAGTCCAATGGGCTTTCAGACCACATGTCGTGTAGCATGAAAACAAATGTGCATTTTACAAGAAGCGCTTTCATGAAGAACAAGGCCATTTCTTCGACAAGGAGAATATGCAGAAATAGAAAATTAAACCAGGCCTGATCTCTCCCTCGAGATGACTAAACTGAGGCTATAATACTTCGGCCATATCATAAGATGATGTGAGTCACTAGAAAAGACACTAATTCTTGGTAAGGCAGAAGGCAGTAGGAAAAGAAGACCAGATTCCAAGAGAGACTCTATCAAGGAAGCCACAACCCTGAGTCTGTAAGACCTAGGCAAGATTCTTGAGGATGGAGACTGAGAGGTCTCTCATTCATAGGGTCGCCATAAGTCAATGTCAATTTGATGGCCGGGTTGCTGAAGGTTTTTTCGGACTATATGGCCATGTTCTAGAGGCATTCTCGCCTGACATTTCGCCTGCATCTATGGTAAGCATCCTCAGAGGTAGTGAGGTCACAACAACCCAGTGATTCCAGCCATGAAAGCCTTCGACAATACAATTTGATGGCAGTTAACAACAACAAACCCCCCCCCCCCCTTAAGTTAACAGTATATTATGGGGGACAACTGCTTCATGCTGAGCAGGGAACATACAGCTAGGCCTCAGTTTACATCAGAGTTGGGTTCATGTAACTAGAGACAGATGTACATGGAGAGAACCAGTTCCATGGAGAATCATTGCTCTGCTGTGGTGAAGGGCCTCCTTCAGTCACTTGAGGGGACGTTGGACCTATCCATGCCTTTGTTTCTTATTTACCCCCTTGTGTATATTCAGTGTTTTGGCAAATCCGGTATGACTGGGTCCTGAGTAAGTCAACCCCCAAGACATGTATAGCATCATGGGGAACACCAAGCATGAGATCTTCCTCTGAAGTAATTCAAGAGTATGTCTGTTCTGATTTGCCCAAGCATTCATGGGATCTTTTGGGATCTGGGTTAATTATAACTGATGTGGAGTGTAGCTTGTAACCCACAGTGGAGTGTCAGTCATACAATACAGAAATTGGATGTTGTCATGGAGAGAATCTAAAACAGTTTGAATAGAACGGAGATCTACCTCCCCCACTTAATTTAAGACTTCTTCAAATAAGAATCTTGAGTCAAAGGTTTATGACTGATACTTCATTCTTCCTTGTACATGTAGGAGAAATTTGACATTGAAAAAGATAAATCTTTGAAAGCCAATGATATATCTTCATTTTTTAAAACAAGAACTTTTATTCAGTTTTGTTATAATTCTATGAAAATGTTTAGATAGAAACAAATACTTTGAGGACAACAAGAATTGTAACAAACAGAGAAGATGAGCAGTAACGATAGCTTGATAACCATAAAGCCCAAGAACCATGAAGCCATAATAGCTGGGATGTAAGTTCTAGGTACATTTCAAAAGTCGTGTGCCAGTCATCGTTTCAGTTGAATTCGGGACTCCCTGTTTAGCGTTAGAAACCCACTGGGAGACTTTGGGCAAGTCCCAAATAATGGGAAAGGAAGGTGATGATGTAGATCAGCCTGAGGCTGATGGGTTCCCTGATGATTTAGAGGATTGTGTGGATTGCCTGGAGCTTGAAGCGATGAAGTCAGGGGAATGATGTGTCTCTCTGTAAGAAATCTGACTCGGAAAGTTCAGGGCTTCAAGGTCAGTCAGCAGAGCCAGAAACTGCAACATTAGATAAGGAGTCGGCCAAAGAGCTAAGTGATACAGAAGGCTCTCAGGGGAAAATGCCTGGAGCCACGGAGATCAACAAAGGTCTTCTTTTACAGATCAGAGCAGAAAATAGGCATTGTAGGTCAGAGCGACTGTATGGGAAAGTTAGGGAGAGAGTCTGTGGGAAATGGCATGCCATCACGGGTGCCTATTAATTAGCAAGTTGTTTACCTAAGGGTTAGTTCAGGCAACGTGGCATTCAAGTGACAAGCTAGGCCTGGGTTCTCTGGTTCTTGTTTCAAGTCAAGCCTTGGTTTTGGATTCAAGTATTCTGGGAGTTTTTGGGGTTCCTGTTCAAGTTTTACTAAGTATAGCTTTTGCTTGTGGACTCAAGGTGTTCTTGTGATTTTGGGCTATTCCTGGACTGTATTACCTTTGAATCTGTAGGAGACATTTGGATTCATGTTGGTTTATCACCTATTGCTAAACATTTTTGGATTATACATCTACTTTCTTTATTCCTGATTTTTTTCCTTTGTGTTTCTACAATAAACTGTTTGCTTATATTCTTGATTTTTGTGTGGTGCTGTTGTCAGAGGTGTTCCCAGGCCTGGGTTGCAACAGGTGGTTATCTGGGAAATCCCAGACAAATGGATTGGGACCAGATTTGACCCCATAATCAGAGATTCCCCTCCTCCTGTGAACGCATGGAAGTAATCAGAAAGGTTTGTCCTTCTTTGTTGATCTGCAACAGGCTCATTGTTAGCAAACCAAAATGCAACCCAAAAAAACAAATCCCAACAAGACAAATCAGTTTCCTGGAACCTAAGAAGAAAGAAACATCATTTCTGAAGAAACCAAACCATGGACAGAATAAACTGGAAAAATAATTTTTATTTTCTAGTTTCATTTTTAGTCATCTGGGCCATTATTTTCAAACAAGAGTAGGTACAAAGTCGTCAAGAGAAATGTGATTTAAAAAAAAACACACACACATACGCACACAACCCAAACCAGACCGTGCAAAACAGAACCACGTTGGGTTATTTCCGACACTTCCCCACTCAGTCCTTCCAGGATATAGCAGAAACAGTTTTTTCCCCTGGGCACAGAGAGGAATTACCAACACAATCCCACTTAAACTTGGAAGAGAAAATAAAAAAGCTTTGGCAGAACTATCGTGTTTGTAAAAAGGATCATGCATTACTCTCCCATTATGTATGTCAGCATGCACCCATTTCAAAGGATGCCTGTGAATAACTTACTACTAAAAGGGCACCGTTATAGTTGCCTTCCAAATAAAATGATGTAGAATCCAATTCACGTTGTGATGCAACTTGATTGGTCAGTTGTATTTGCAGTGTTATCAACTGGACAGCTTCTGAAAATTCATGTTACCAAAAAAGGTAGCTTTACATTCAGATGTCCCCAGAAAGCGTATATATAAAATATAAAAAACTTCTGTTGTTTTGAGCTTGTAAAAAGTGCATAATCCAAGGGGGCTGGGAGGAGGGTTCGGACTAAAAAAAACCCCCATCTCTAGAAAGCTGTCATACAGCTCTCCCAATTCGATCTCTTCCAGATGCCTTGGACTACAACTCCCATCCAGGCAACATGACCATTAGTTATACCCACTCTGGTTTTCTTGTTGTCTCCCGCTCCTCCCACCCCCAGTCCAGCAAGGGAAAAGAACATTTTGATGTTCTTGGGGCAGACAATGCTCCCCCTCTTATTGCATTTGCTACTCTTCTGGAGCCAGAGATAGGAATCAGATTAGGTTGCTCAACAGCCTGGGCATTATTGCTAGAGCAATACCGAGAAGACACTGGAAGAACAGCCATTGTGTATATACTTGACCAAGGAATGGGGTGCAGTTAGTACTTGTGGGAACATGACTGTATGTCTTCAAGCCAGCACACCTCTACTCTCTGAAACTCAGATTCTCCAATATCAGGGCTGCCTGTGGAGCAAAGCTGGGACTCTTGCGAGTGTCATATGGCACAAAAGGGGTCATTACTCATGTAGAGTGGACTCAGTCATGATTCACCTCCATTAATGTCTATGATGTTTCCACAAACTGAAATGCGCAGGCAAAGGTCACTCTTCCTATCAAGATGGGTCAAGTCTCAACAGGAGAAGACACATTGATGGGAAGGGACCATAATTTAGCACCTTTGCATGTAGAATATCCCAGCTTCCATTCCTGGATCTTTAGTGGTATGCTCAAACGGCAAATGGAGGATGGAAGTGGGATGTCTTGCCACTGAAGTACAGCTCCTTCCTACCTGAGTATCTAAAACATACCAGTCATTGCAACAGCTAGCCATTTCAGGGATATTTCTAGCCTTGGGCAGGGAAACATAATCTCTTACAAAGATAGACCTCGCCTCCGACGAAGGAACCGCTGTGTTTCGCCTACAGTAAAACCGAGAGAACAGCAACCACTCCTGGTTTCTTTTCCCCAGAAGGCCTCAAGAACACTCCCAGGCAGAACATGGAATCGCAGGGAAAGGCAAATTTGAATACCCATACCCTGTTCGCCATCATTGCATCTTTGACTGGACAGACTTGATGCCTTCATCCCCACTTTTTAAAACATCATGCCTGATGAAGAAACACAAAGATCTTGAAAGTCTTGCATGGTTTTTTTAAAACTTCAGTTATCACAAATGAAAGTATCCTAATGCCAGCATGCCTCAGTTAACAAAGCCGCAAAGAATGAAACACTTACTTAGCTCCCTTTCCCCTTCCTCATCCTCTGTCAGGCTGAAAGTTCTTTTTGGCAGCATTGGCATTGGGAGGATGGTGAAGGGTAACTGGAGAAACACAAACCTTTGGCTCACGTTCAGTAAATAATGCAATAAAGACAGCTTAAGTTGAGAAATAGTGGGATTCTGCTCTAGCCAAACCTACTGGATTTCATGTCCTGCACAACAGAGAGAACAGGGGAGGGCAAAGAAATAGCCTCACATTTTAAAAAAAGGCATAGCTTTAAAGGTCTGGTCTCCAAAACGGAAAGGAAAAGGAAAACTAGAGGCTCATGGAAGACAAGTCAGCCTGGAATGCATTTTGGAAGACTTCAAGCGCTCACTACAAGGTTCAAAATGCTCTTCTTTACTTATGCAAAGCTTCCACGGTGTGGAGGTTTCATTGCACAAGTGCATAAAGTTCGATTTTTTTAAAAATACCAAAATGTATCGAACTGTTCTTTTTTGTGGTCTGCGAAACAAGCCCTATTTTTTCCATGTTATTTTTTTGCTTCCAGTACCAAATTTTCTGATATTAAAGTAAAGATCTCCCCTTGACATTAAGTCTAGTTGAGTCCAACTCTGGGGGGTGGTGCTCATCTCCATTCCTAAGCCAAAGAGCCGGTGTTGTCCGTAGGTGCCTCCTAGGTCATGTGGTTGGCATGACTGTATGGAATGCCGTTACCTTCCCGCAGAAGTGGTACGTATTGATCTACTCACATTTGCATGTTTTCGAACTGCTAGGTTGGCAGAAGCTGGGGCTAACAATGGGAGCTCACCTTTTCCTGCAGATTCAAACTGCCAACCTTCCGGTCAGCAAATTCTGCAGCTTAGCGGTTTAACTCGCTGCGCTACCGTGGCCCCTTTTTCTGGTATTAACCCTCTGAAATAGGCTGGTATAGACCTGTACAGAGTTGGACCTCATTTTTCATATTTTCCCCAAAATTGTCTTTCACGACAATGGCAAAAATCTCCTTTTCTTTAAGGCATAAAAACTGTTGATTTTTGTTTCAGAAAAGTGCATGGGAAGGGAAATAGGGAAGGGAGGACATTTATTTCCACTCTGCAAAGGCAAGCAAGATGCCCTCGGAGAACACAATGCTTTCTTCCAAAATATTCCAGTAAGCGCGCAGGTACAAACACGCACACTTCCTGAAATAACTCTCCAATTCAAAAACAGCCAGTGCTTCCAGCTTTCAATTGCAACCTCTGGGAACGCTGCCCAAGAAAGAATTGCAAAGGCCACAAATACCTTGGCACTAGAAGGAACTCACCTCCGAAACAAAAACAAAACAAAAGCAAAGCAGCAAAGATTGCTTCGAACAAACAAAGAGCAGAAAACACATTCCAATACGTTTTCATAAATATTTCTACAGATAAAAGTCTTCAGTGCATCAAAGGCAAATATTTACCGATTCCAAATGTTGAACGGTCTTAAAGATCCCAAATATATCTTCCAAGCAAAAATGGAAGGTTGCTTCTAAGGACCAAGACCTCAAAACACAGGTAGTAGCTTAAGTATTCCAGTAATAGCATCTGCTTTATTCAGTATGTACTTATATATACACATACACACACACTTTGGGGGGGGGGGGACTATTTATAAAATAATGGCCACTTTGGCTAGAAGAAGAAGAGGTTTATTTTTTTTAAAAAAATCTGAGAATTGTTTTCTTATTTTTTTATTCTGCATTTACTTCTGGAGCTCAGTGAATGCTGTAGGGTGGCCTTCAGTTTAGAATTCTCAGTGAGTGCTTCCCCAAACTCCAAACCCCAGGATTCTTGATGGACACAGCCATGGCAACTAAAGTGGGATCATAGCATTACAACTGCATGGTGTGAAAAGGCTCCAGGAGCAAACTGCAGCACAAGCTGTCTATGGCCCCTTCCACATAGCTGAATAAAACCACACATCTGCTTTGAACTGGAATATAAGGCAGTGTGGACTCAGGGCCCTTCTAGACAGGCCTGTACCCCAGGATCTGATCCCAGGTTTTTTTGTTTATCCCAGTCTGGCAGTGCAGACTTATAGCAGAAAACCTGGGGTCAGATCCTGGGATATAGGGCCTGTCTGGAAGGGCTCCCAGATAATCCAGTTCAAAGCAAATATTGTGGGATTTTCTGGGTTATATGGATGTGTGGAAGGACGCTATATCTTTCCATTCCCTAAATGAAGGCTAGTCAACTGACCTTTCAAAACAGGGCCTGCTGTTTTGGTAGATAGTCAACACACCTTTCCTATTGAAACTACCACTGTTCCCATTGGGCTTCTACAATTTAGGGACCAGGAGAAGAGAAACAAAGCCAAGATATAACCATATTCCTAAGATACTAAGGGTGAAGAACCCAAAAGCAAAAGTGGAACCCAGTGAGAAAATGCTCAGTTCCAGACCTATATATACCACCTTTTAACCCTCCCAGAAAAAAGGAAGCAAATGATCCCCAGATATTCCAGTAGTCATTTCACCCAACCTTCACTGCAAAAGTGCAAATCTCACTAAATCCAGCCCAATGTTGACATAATTTGGTAGGGCAAAATCATTTTGGGAAAATTGCACTTTAGAATACAACTCCCACAATCCCCCAGCCAGCATGGGAGCTGTGGTCCAAAATTACAACTTCCCCTTGCTATACCTACCTTTGAGAAAATAAGGGGCCCTATGTCAACAGAAAGGTTTCAAGAACTTGCCCCAGTTAGCATCAACCAGCAGCCTGCCCTGTACTCTCTGGTGATTTGTTGGGGCCTGCGGGCGTTAAATAAATCCATGGGAGTCTTTTTTCACAGTTTCCTTTCCTACACTTCCCTGTCTATCTGAGGTGATAAAGCCAAAAGAAGAACAGATTAAAAACGATTGCCAATGACAATTGTCCTGCCACCTATCCTCCCTCTGGTTCAGAGGCACACGCAAGTTCCAGATGCTAAGGAAGACTCCTAACTCAGTAGTGGAGCACACCATTTGCCTGCAGACAGCCCCAGGCTCAATCTCAGTTAAAAGGCTCAAGCAGACGAGGAAAAATCTTCTCCCCCCTGAAGCCCAATGAACTGAGCTGACATTATGCTGCTCTTCAAACCATTATTCTATTTCTTTGACCCAAATCCCAAAGGGTTCCCAGGAGAGCTGTGTTCATGGTTCATTGGGGATGAAGTGAAATCTGGCACTTGTTTGCACATATAAAACCCTGCAAATCAAACCCTTGGCTCACTAGGCCCTATGGTTTCCTCTGAAAACCAAAACGGGTTCTACCACCAAAGAAGAAAGATTTTCCATGCCAGAAAGAGACTTGACTGCACTGAGGAGTCAATTTCCCTCCAATCACCAGGTAGAGACATAAAGGTCTGGAGAAAAAACATGGGGGGTATTTCTCTGAGGCCCCATCCAGACTGACCACTCAATGCAGTTCAAAGCTAGCTTCAAACTGTGACAGCTGGAAAACAAACTCCCACAAAACGGTGCAAAAGGAAGCCCTTAATGTACATCAGGACTCTGTGATTTGTACAATCACAATTCAGGCCTCAAATCGCAGCAAACAACATGAAGGGTAAACAGAAACCTTCTCACCCATGGCTTCTTCTCTGCAAAGTCTGCAGTTTGTTATTTAAGCGGTAAACTTAACAGCTACAACATCTGGGCCACATTTCTTCCATCTGGCCTCAATGTTTGTATGCCATCCAGCCCAGAGGTGAGCCTCACTCATATTTATGAAGCCTCTCCTGGGCTTTTTTTCAAACCAGGAAGCTTCTGGCCACTTCCTAATTTGCCAAAAGGTTTGCAGGGGCCTAAGAATGATAAAGCACCCCAAGCACCAGTCACAGCAAAGGAAAGGGGGGAGGGTGTCTCATGTGTGAGCTATACTTTCCTTATCCCAATCTAGCTTTATGGAGAGTGCAGCACTCAAAAGTTCATATGCATTTGTGACCCTGTGGTTCATCCTACTAACTGTATGACCTAACTCTGACATTAAAAATAAATTAACTCAGTTAACTAAATGCACTTACTCATATAAAGTCTAGTTTTACTAGTCCAAGCTCCCCCTAACCCCACTTCCCAAGGTCCTTATGGGAGGATCTGCTGTCACTGAAAACGTATTTCTTTAAACTTGTTTGCAGAGTGCATATCACAGCTGTCAATGTATACCATTCCTCCCTACAGTTGCAAGAATGCTGGGTGAAGCAAGGGCAACATGGCTTGAGAGGGGATATTTTTCAATTTTTTTCATGTCAGGAGTGACTTGAGAAACTGCAAGTTGCTTCTGGTGTGAGAGAATTGGCTGTCTGCAAGGACACTCCCTGGGGGACGCTCTGATGTTTTGATGTTTTACCATCCTTGTGGGAGGCTTCTCTCATGCCCCCGCATGGGGAGCTGGAGCTGACAGAGGGAGCTCATCCACGCTCTCCTTGAATTCGAACCTCCGACCTGTCAGTATTCTGTCCTGCTAGCACAAGGGTTTAACCCACTGCACCATCGGGGTTCTTACAAGCTGATGACAGTTTGGAAAATTTACTTTCTGGGCTCCCAAAATCTCCAGCCACCAAAGCCATAGACTATATTGAACTGAGATTTTGTAATCCAAAGTATTACATTTTCTTAGCTTTGTGACCTGAGAACAACATCCTTGCTGGATTGTACTCCCCATCCCAACAGAGAAAAATAACCTCTATTTTCCATATGTCCCCACCCCATGCATATTTACTTAAAGGTAAATCCCACTGTGTTCAATGGGCCTTACCCTTAGGCCAGGTTGTTCAGGAGTGCAGCCTTTTACTGTCAAGTGTCTTTTGTATGTCTTTTTTCCTCTCTGCACTTCTCTTTCTCTAACATTATTCTTTTGCCTGAACAGAAACATTCCAAAAACGTGCAAGGAATAATCCAGAGTCTGCCAGCACTAAAGCCCAATTCTGCATAACTCTTGCAACTAAAAGCCAATTTGTTCAGAGTGTCTTATTTGGCACCATGCAATTCCTCTTCTGTCAAGTATGGGAATGATTTGGGAGCATGAGAGGGTTATCATCCGTCAGTCTAGAAATCTGTTGTGTGCTTAAAAACATACTTTTGCATCCATAAGGACTAGAAACATAGCCTACCATTCTTTTTTTTTAAAGGCAAAGATCTTGGAAGTTGAAGTGATTTGCTAAGAGGTGATTGGTGCTTCCCTGATATACATGTAGCTCAATATTTGGCTCTTACTCCTGCTGTGTTGGGGTTTTAGCCCCTGGAGACCTTCATTTGTGTTCAGGTTGTGGACCATAAATCTGACACCCAAAAATGCCTTCTTGTTAAACAATCTAAGGCTCTAACTTCCTTTTCATCCTATTCCACTCAGAAAGCATTTTTCAGTCCCCTGCCCCAAGGAATCACCTTTTCAAAGACAACAACCTTCGTGATAACTGGGAAGACAAAGGGTCTGAGGGCAACATGGCACATTTCCCCCTCTGGTATTTGTGCCGTCTCAGACCTCTAAACCGTTACTTGAACAGATCACTGTATTTTTAACAGCACTAAAAGCTTAGGGTACAGTACTACTAATCTCTCTTTCCAAACAGAATGCCACAGTCCAGCCAAATTCATGCACAAGGGAGTCAAGAGAACACAGTAGAAACTTTTGCACTTTGTACTTGCTTTAAAAAAAGAATTCTTGGCATAGTTTTTTTTTGTTTGAGTTATGCAAAATGGCTGCCTGGAGGCGGCAAGGTGTCGCCTCTGTGGTCCAGCTGATCTTGCAGGCGCGCAAACTCGGCGAGTTCGTTCAGTTCTTGGAACTGGCGGTCCGTCTTGTGCGTCACCAGTGACCGGTAGAAGTGAACCGCAAATACAATGAAAATCAACCCGAAGGGAACCATGATGGTGGTGGAAGTAATGGCCGCCGCCTCACCGGCTGTGATGGTAGAGTTGCTAGCCCGGCTGCCATCACCTGTCTTCTTCTTCAGTGGGTGGAACTTCACCCAGCAGAGCAGGACCACCTCTGCTAGGAAAAGCAGAGTCCCAATGACGGTGGAGAAGGCCCAGGCCAGCTCGATGTGCCGGTGCATGCGCTCGTGGGGAGACTCCTTCACCGAATTTAGGTTGTGCACATTGCTCACGGCCTCAATGTTGGGGAGGATGCAAGTGCTGATCATGAGGGCAAAGAGATGGACGGCCACCAGCACAGTGGTGCAGGCGCTGAACGCTATCAGCAGCCCGGGTGGGTAGTCATGGTCGGCATCCAGCTGGACTTCCACCATAGCCACCTGGAAAGGGATGGGGAGTGGGAGGAGAGGGAGGAGCATTGTTTAAAATGAAATTTGCAGGACAGAAAATCAATCAGACATATTTTGTTTATTTATTAAGTTTATTTCCTACTTTTCCTCCAATGAGGCAAGGCTCATTGGCTGTCTTCCTTTAGCCTACTTAGAGTCACAGACTTGGAAGAGACCACAAAGGTTATCCAGTCCATGCCCCTGCCATACAGGAACACACAATCAAAGCACTTGAGCCTCACAATAACCTTGAGAGGTAGATCAGGCTGAGATTGTAACCTTGAACCATTTCCTCTGAGTTTCATGGCTGAGCAAAAGGACCTGAACCTGGATCTTCTATGTCTCAGTCTAATACAACAAAAACCAAGCTCAATCATGCTAAAAGAAAGCTCCATGTTCTAAGGCAGTCTACCTTCCAATCATCAGCTGCCAGGGACAAACAACAGGGGAAAAGGCAAAACATTTTGTGCCCTAACTGCGTGAACCAGAAGCAGATGTACAATGAAAAAAGAAGTTAGGACTTGAAGGCTTTGCCAAGCTGGTTCAGCAAAGGTCTTGTGTTCTTAGATACAATTCACAAAAAGATTAATATTGTTATTGTGTATCTGCAAGAGTTCTTCACTTGGTACTCCACTCCTGCCACCATCTGTTGGTTAGGTCTATTCACTGTGGTCCAAAAAAGTAATGATGCATTTGTGCCCAACCTATGCTTGTGTATGTCACGCATACACTTGAATGAATGGTGGATAATTCCTCTTAAAATCCCGGAAGCCGGAAAAATTGCCAGTTTTCACCATGTGTTTGTGGTGCACTCCTCTTTCCCTAACAGATCCATGTCCTTCCTCATAAAGGACAGGAACAATAATGACACCAAAATTAATTAGGTAAGTTATGAAAATAAGATAAATGTCTACAGTTCCTTGGCACAGAAAGCAAATATTGAACACAGACAAAGCTTATATACATGGTATAAGTAAAATACTCTAATATAAGAAATATAACAATGATGTTGTGAATGTCAACTATGTTTTAATTATTGTAAGCCACCTTGGGAAAAAGGTTAAATATAAATGCATATCACCCTCATCCTCAAGCAGGAGAATCTGCCACCAGAACGGGTCAATCCTAAAAGTTTTCTTTCAAGCAACGCAAAGTTAACAGGCAAAACAACAAGCACAACAATGTGTTTATTTCTGAACAACTGCAAGGAGCAGGAACTACAAATTTCTTTCCTGACACTATCCTGAAGTAACATGAACACATTACTTTTAAACCCCCAACTTTTCAAGCTCTGAACATGGCATTTGATTTGTAAAGGCACCCAGATCCATCATGCTGGCTCTCTTTATGATGCAATCCTTATGTCTGCATGACTTCCAAAATCCTTTTGAAGTCTACCCTGCTGTGATTCCATGAATGGCATCTGGTTACTTTATAATGCTCCACAGATTTCTCAGAGGAGGAACGTGGCAGCGGGGAGTCAGAGCCGGCATCCTCTTACACAAAAGAACACCAGCATAGATCGTTCGGTCATCCAAAACCATGCAAATAACCAAAGTGTGGAAAAGGTAATTTTGTCCTGCACAACTCCCAGAAAGGTTTTCGCTAGCTGGAAGATTCTGGAGGCTGCAGCCACCCCAAAAGTTTACTTTCCATGCTCTATTAATAACCAGGGGTTAAACAGCAAACAACTTTCTCCCTAACGGGAGAAAAAACTACCAATCCAGCTCACTTCCTTGCAGGACAATACAGTATTATACAATTCCCCCCTGTTGTTGTTCCTGCAAAGGGGGGGGGGGGGAGAGAGAAGGGAAACGTCTCTAGGAATGCTCTCAGGGAGGTGTTGGCCTGCGCCTTGGACAAAAGCCAGCACTTGCTTGGGGGGGGGGGGGTCAGTTGTGACGCATGTAATAAAATTGTACCCACCAGGAAACAAAACAGAAAAAATGTTTCCCACCAGTAACAATAATGGGCTGCCAGGAAGAAAGAACGGAAGAAATTGGAACCTCCCAGAACAGGAAACAAGCAGATTGTGACATTGAAGGAGCGGCATCCATTGACAGAGGTGCCTACACACATTTGCAATTAGAAAACAATGAGCAAATAGGCATAGATCCAGGTCCTTAACACCTCAAGTTAGTATGCAAGAGCTAATAGCTACCTGTCTTGGCCAATAAGCACACATTACTGCTTGACAATGCTTCAGTCAAAGGTTTTGTTTGGATGCAGATTTGAGTTGGGAGCAGTAAATGACTTCAAACCAGCCAAAGTTGATTTCACTAACAGGTGGGCAACCCTTTATTAGGACACCATCCAGCAACACCACCTCTAACTATGCTTTGCCTAAATTATGAGAACTTCATGGAGTTGCCATAAATTGACAGGTAACCTAAAGGCACATGCACACATTTACTATAACAAAGCAAATGCAAATGCAAAGCCAATCAATGCTAATCAAGGTGGCCAATGACAACATTCACAGTTGTCTCAAGCAGACAAGAGTTCTATAAACTCCACTTGCCTAGTTTCCAACAGACTTCACAACCTCTGAGGATGTCTGCCATACATGTGAGAGAAACATCAGGAGATAATGCTTCTGGAACATGGCCAGACAGCTCAGAAAACTCACAGCAATCCAATGATTTTGCCAAGAAAAACTTAGATAACAAAATGCAAAATAGTTGATGATGCAATTTTTTTTCTACCTTTCCCAGTTTCACAGTGAAATTCTTCTAGTTCTCTCACTATAATGTTGTTCCTTGTAAGCCAACAAGAAAACAATGGTACAATTTAAAAATATATGAATGGTTGGGCTCCCCCCCCCCCCGCCAGTTTAACTAGGAAGTGTGTTTCCTTTGAAAACAAAATGAATCACCAGGAAAACACCTAGACATCCCCACCCTGGCTAGTTCTTCAGATAATGGTGGAAACACTAGTATCCTGACATTAGTCCCCTTGATGGGCACAACAGGGAATATTCTCCATCACACTACAACTAAACAGTCTGTTGTCCTCTAGATGTCTGTGGAACTATGGGAGTTGTAGTTCCACATACCTGGAGCCTGGCTTGGGCCTTCTGACCCGAGTATCCTGTAATTGTGAAAAGCAGATTGGCCCACAGAAGGAACCTGGCATTCCTCAGGACATGAAGGAGTCATCGGCGCCTTTCGTAAGATCACAAGCTTTGGCTGTAGGTAGGGAAATGAAGTCTTTGCCAACTGATTTCAAACCTACGCAGAGGGCAGCCAAAGCTCTATTGGTAGGCTTTTCACACCAAAAAAATCCCAGGTTTGGTTTTGGTCTGTCCAGTTCGAAAAGGATTAGGAAGCAGGTGATGGAAAAAGACCTTTGTCTGAAACCCCAGAGAGCTGACGCTGCCAGTCAGAAGAAAAGAAAGGGGAGGCCCTGGAAACAAAACAAAGCCAAGAGAGACAAAAAAGCTCCCCATGATGCAAGTTCCCATCCCAGTTCAGAAAATACATCTTTTTTTTTTTCTTTCATCAGGGGTAGGGTGATGGTTTGTGTGCTTTGGAAACAACTTGAGAACTTTGGCCCACTGAACCCAGTGTCAGCTAGGAGAGAACCAATTTTCTGACACACTACGTGAAAGACAGAGGAACCATATTTTCTTGTCAGTGTAATTTCACTATGTGTATGTGGGGGGGGGGGGGGGGGGGGGGGGGGGGTTCTTTTTGGAGTTTTCCAGGTGGTTTTTACAGGCCTGGCCCCAAGTAACCCTGGCTGCAACTGCATTTGCACCAAACTAATCTGATCTGCCAGCAAAAGCACTGCTTCGACAAGGGTACAAACCCAGGCACTAACCCAGACTCAATCCACACGGCTCTTTTACTGGTTCCACCTGTATGTCCTTAAAAGCACACTCCTTGGTAACAGCCCACATACAATATATGCGCCAAGGGGCTTTTTTTAATGGGCGCAGCTGCAAAATTAAAGCGTTTCACTGGGAAGGAGGGGTCACGTGCTGCCCTGCAGCCCCAACTGGAACACCAGTCTCCTGTCACTCAAGCAGATGTCGCCTCCCCTGAAGAGCCCCAACCTGTTTTTAGCCATTGAGAGCAGCAAATCGGCCAGCTGCCATGCGGAAGAGGCAGTATTTTGAAACAGCATCCGCTTTTCTCCTGTCACAAGAGCACTGTAGTTTGAGAACAACCCTTTAAGATTGAGAACATGAAAAGCAGAAGCTGCCTCTGTAAAGCAAGCTTTTTATGACTGAAGGCAGCTTGTATGGGAAGAGAGAAAGAGAGACAAGCACCAGAGAAGCCACATTTTTCCCTCTGAACCTCTGGCACAGAAAGCTTTGCAAACACTCAAGGCAATTATGTATGAGTATTTACAACGCACCCTTCAGAGGAAGATCTCAGGCCAGCTTGCAACCAAATCAATGCAAAAGATTAAAAATAGGGTACATTATTTACCAGTCAAAACCACACAATTTAAAACCAATGAAGAGACTTTAAAACAATGCCAAACACAGGACATGTGCACATGAATTAGACCTTTCGAGGTTTTAATAAAAAGCAATGTTTTGGTTTGGCGCAGGAATGATGCCATACTTGGTGCCAATTGGACTTCCAAGGGAAGGGGATTTCCTAACTATACATTTTGCCCTGGGTTGATTTTAAATTCCTGATCTTAGCCACCTGTACAACAACACTGCAAGATGGGCTGCTCTATTCATTACGCACAATGCTACAGATGGGAGGCTGAGAGGGAGAAAGCTCAGTCACTTGTCGCGGCAGTGAGATTTGAACAGCTTGTGCTTTGAGCCACTACACCACACCAGGTACCCAGCTGAATGGGATTTATTTCTATACAAGCAGTCCAGAAAAGCTACTTGTCCTTCACTTATTAGACTTTTAAACAGCTGAAATCCAACTTACTAATGCCTTGAAAGATCTCTCCAGCTACTTCAAAGATAACCACTTGAAGCCTATCCCTGTCAAGACACAAGTGTGTGCTTTTTTGGTCAA